GACGGGACTGTCGATAGAACCACGAAAAGCTCTCACGGGAAACTTTTGGCGGGCGGGAGAGGGTAGGACACTGCTGTATCCACACTCCCCCCCCCCTCTCCCCGTGGATTCCGACCACGACATATTCTTGTCACTCAACAACAACTAGAGAATGAATGAGTATGAACTCATGCTGTTGATAGCTCTCTATTAATAGTTCTCGACAACAACAACAGTACACTGCACGACGCCGCGAAGACGTCGAGATGTTCAGAGGTGCCGTGCCTGTCTTCACTATATCCTTAGAAGGCACGACGATACGCCAATGTGACGGACGTAAACTCTATCATTCAGCAAGGGGTCTTGCTCGTGGCGTTTGAGCCTCGAGGGTCAAGCCATGTGGCTATCCAAACCTTCAGCCATTTGATTGTTTTTTTTGCGGTTTAGCTGGGACGGGGTCGGTCATGTCTGAGAAGATACGGGGTAAGTTTCGACACATTGAACCAGTAAACTACCGTCGACACTCGGCCGAGATCGGGGAGAAAGAGCATGCCCAATGCAAGAACGGCCGATAACGTTCGCCCAAAATGTCACAGAGCTCGTACCTTGTAACCCCTCTCAGGCGGGGAAGGAAGGGACTCCTTAGCTGTTTCATTTTTCCGAAAGGGCAGGTTGAATCCTAGGCATGGTCGCGGAGAAGCGAAACACGCCAGGAAGAAACATGCCTTCGTGGCCCACCGCATCTTGCTTGTTGTCGAAAAAAAACGTCTCACACCTGAACAAAAAAAAACGAGATTGGGAGATAAAGGTGATTGACTGGTAGAGAGAGTCAAAGCGTGAAGGGCTAAATATTGTTCACGCTCCAGAGGTATCTGTGATGCTTGCTTGTCGTTGGAGAAGGACAACAATACAAACCCTCCGTGTACAGCAATGTGTTTCATGCGGCAATCCACTAAGACCAACTGGTTGAACATACCTATGTGTTATTGTCATGGTCGGGCATGGTCTGATCACTGCTGTATTGCTTTTTTCATCCCATCTGCATTCCCACCCGCACTGTGCTACTACCGGAGGTGTTTCCTAAAGAACGCAAAGCTCCGGGGTCACACGAAGGATATCCCCCGCGGTGCACGACTCCGACTGCTATGAAAATGCATTCCCTACACGGCGTGTGGGCAAAAGAGAGCATGCTGGTTTGCTGTCCACACTGGGTCGAGAGCAGAGTGCGCGTGTCTTCTTCGATTCGCCGTGAGGGACTTACGCTGGGAAACGATGTTCGTGCGCCAATGCTCTCGTTGGCATCTACTGCAAAGTTGACCCTTGTACCGGTCAGCTAGACGTTTGAGTGTGCGTGGCTCAGAACGCTTGTCTTGTCCTGCACATTTGATACCGAATTTTGCATGGCCCAGACGATCTACGCGACATATAGGGTGTCATTGTCTTGTATACAACGCTTCCTACAGCAGTACCAAATCATTCAACACAACGGAACCAGCATGAGCATGTTTTGCGACAAACACGATCCCTACCCCTACCCGACCCCACGACGTGTAGAATATGTCGCTCCGCTGCTGGTAGTGTACCGGTAGAATGCAACACAGCACTTTGTGCGAGTTGATGAACGAACGATGAATCACATGTGATACGATTGTCGGTCGCCGAAGCGAACACACGCCAATAAGTCCCGCTTGTAAACAGTTTGGGGCTACAAGGTAGTTCCATCACACTACATTACTGTACATGCCGGTACCCTCTCCGCACCAGGGCTTCGGTTGATGTGACAAGCGTGCGACATCTTATACGTAACGGCATCTCCCGATTGCGATGGGTCACGTTGAGCTGTGAAACATCATGGACAGAGTTTTCCAACGAGGAGGTACAAGAACCGTCAATAGACACATACAGTCTACGCACACGAATGTTCTATCATCGCTACAGGAGGGATGGCGTGTCACGAACGACCCAAGGGAGAAGGCACCACCTCCAATAACTGCAGTGGTGGGCTCTGGTATCAATACCCCCTTCCAGCGCACTGAAGCCTTGCACCTGTTTTACGCGTGACGGGCGTTTATTTAGCGGCGCAGCGTCTCTGTTTGCTTTCCTCTCCTTTCAGTACAGGATATCCAAAAAGTCAAAATCGCCGCAAAAGGGATGTACCTACATTTTCTACTGTACCGTGCCGCAGACCCAACGCTCAGTGCCCTCCACAGAAGGACGAAGACACGATCAGAGGGAACCTAACCCGGCCATATTAAGCACCCGTGCGTGCTGCCGTGTCTCGTGATGATGGCGCAGCGTGCCATCAAACGAGGCCGGGTATTTCGGCGAAATTGGATCCTGATGCGGGCGAGTACCCGACACAACGCGCTGAGTCTGGACGTGGGTGGCCAGCAGACCGGAGACGGCACCCAAAGTGAACGGCCAAGATATCAAACGTATGCAGCGCTCGCCTCACCTCTACATGATGCAAAGATCCAGAGCCGTTATCATCCAAAGCAGTGCAGTAGTAGTATCATTGTGGGAAGGCAATCAAGCGCCCCGGGGGGGGCTTGCATGCTTGTCTGGACCCCCCCCCCCGCCCGCTGCGGCGGGAAAAGGCAACACGCGAAAACATGCGGAACACGCCACACTAGACTACTTCCAAATGCATGGCCGCCTAGCCTTACTGCCGCTGACCTGTGCCTATGTACCTTGCTATTCCGTTGGGAGATAGAGGGTGTCTGTGTAGCAGTGGCAAGTTGGTGAATGGCGCGCCAGCGGAAACCCAGTTATCCCTTTACCGCAGTTTATGATCCAAAAGCTCTCGGGATATTTGTCATAACATCGTGTGTCCATCTGCTCCGCTTTGGGCTCTCTGTATAGTCTATGTTGCCTATGTTATTCCACCCGCCAATGGGGGGAAATAGTATAGGGATTCCACCCGTGCAAACCTCGGTGCCCACGCATCTCGTGCATTGTGCATTCATACAGGACACCTGCTCACATGACACGCGGAGCTGGGCAGAGCAGCTGGGCAGCAGATCTGAGCTGGCAGATCTGCTACATGGTTCTGAGTTTTCGGAGATCGCTGGTTCAAAATGTGGTTCTCCAGGGTACATGCAATGATTTTGCGTCTCCCCCCTCGGTGACTTGGGTGAGTCGATACGTGTCACTGCTAACTGCTGCAGGCTGCACAGCCGCGAGCGCGGTTCGACGGATTTGAGATGAGCGGCCCCACGCCGCGATTGCCTTTCTTATCGGCAGCCGAAGAGGTAAACGTTGTTGCGCAGTGTTTGGTTGCTGCTTATTTGTGCTTTCGCCGGAAGAAAAAGGTTGCAAGTTTAGCTCTCAGAGGTCACACAGAGGCTTTGCCGCAGTTTGCGTTTGGGAGTTGTCTCTGTTTTGGTGACGCCAGCGTCCGGACGACCACGCCCCCCACATAATCGCCACGCCGCTTCTCCCCTCAATGCTCTTTCGTTCTCGTAGCAATGTCCGTGTGCGGGAGTGTGGTGGTTTCTACATATGCGTACGTCGTCGACGCCTGCTCTCGCACTACACTGCTGTGCCTTTGAAACTCGCGCAGTAGCACTCTAGATGCGTTGCGCACACCTTTCCAAACATGTCTGCTGTACAGTACGAACGCAGCACCCAGCTGTCAATCTCTGGGTTCGTTCGTGCTTCCCGTGTGGACGTTTTGCATGGCTCCCCTATAAGTTCGCAGGTAGTGAACCTTCCGCAGAGTATTTGTACCAACGTATAGAACCGGTCTCTTTTAGTGCCCGTGTACTCCTGTGCAGCAGTCACATTCAAATATCCACGTCCGAACACATATTCCAGGCTCGGTGCTGCTGTGCCATTGCTGGTCTACGACAAACATATGGTAGCACAGTCCTCCATCGAACGGCTCACGTTTACTGCAACTTGGGGGGGGGGAAGAGTGTTCAATAGCGGCAAAACAAACAGCAGCGGTTCGGAAAGCGGTTCAAAAGGTTGTTGCGCATTTGTACACTCCGCACCCTTCAACGTGATGCAACTGCCATTTGATAGCTGGACCCATTCGATGCTACCTTTGGCGCTGGTAATACACACGCTAGCGCTTAACATCGGTCAACACGAGACATTCCACCACATATTTCTCTAGTGGGTAACCTTGCAGCCTGCTAAGGGCCAGGTCATGGGTGCGAGTCCCGACAGAGTGAGCTTTTTCTCGCAAGTTAAATCCTGGTCTCCGTTGGAAGCGACGCGCTGCAAAGCTCGTTGTTAGTAAAGTTGATCGACTTCATTATTTAATAGTTGCGAGGGAAGGGGTTACTGTACCCTTCTCGCGATAGAAGTATCTCAGGCAGGAACCGCAGGAGGTGGTCCAACCTCTACCTCCTATGTGACCCCGGTTGGGTCGTCTAGCTGGTAGAAGTGGAGGATAGGGGCCAGAGGTTCAGACGACAGAGTCCAATGATGGGAGAAAAATAAAAAATCCCAGACCAACATGAATACGCGTCTTCTCTATCTTTTTCGGTCAATTTTCGGACCGGGCTGAATGCATGACAAGTGTATGCTACTATCTGCTTTTTGTATGCACGGTACCGAAAGCACAACGTACGAATGACTGGTTGCCATACCCCCACCATTACGCCCATGATCTGCACTTAATCACCCGGGTCACAGAAGATGCTGCGCCCCACAGAACGCAGCCCATGGTGATGGTGAATGTAAACGCCAACGCGTCATTTAAGAATTTCTTTTCCCCTGTAGCGCATTCGACATTATCACCGTACAGACGTGCAGCTCACGGCCGGCTGTCATCACAGCAGGTTGTGCTCAAGTTCACGTACGTGCTTATACAGCTGTAGGCGAGGCTTAGCTTGTCATCCACTGCTTGCTCCATAGCGGTCACCCTGTTGTAGAGTGAAGGCTCGCCATCCGCCCTCCTTCCCCTCCTCGTTCTCGTTCCAATTTTCCGTTGGGGGGCTGCACGCTGAACCGCAGGCATGTCTGCGGCCGGGGCCGTCTGGACGGGTCCTGGGAGTTGCTACGGCGGGAGACTTTTTTACGCTGTTTCTCAGAGACGCCAGCGAGTTTTCGGGGCAATACCACACAACTATGGGCGACCGGTAAGAGGAGAATCTAGAATACCACGAGTTTTTTTCCTGATCACACTACACGCGCTTGACCAACCAGGTGCCCACGTAAGATTCCCGTCGAAGAGTTAAGCCTTCTGCGCCACTCCGTTCTCCGCTGTCTCTGCCACCACGGGGCGTCCCGCTCCAAACCGCCCTTTACCCCAAAATGTGAACATATCAAAGCAGATGTCCTTCTCTGTCTCTTTCTTTGAGCTTCCGTTCAAGAAGGTAAAGGTGTGCTGGCGACTGGGCCACCCTTCTCCCTTTCTCACCCCTTCTCATGCACGTTTTCCCTCGTCGCTTAACACGATGACAACCACCCACGGTTACATTCGAACGCAGCGGGCTGGAAGAGTGGCCGTGGGAGGAGGACGGCCAGAGGCAGTACGAGGGGTCGCTTCGCAAGGTGTCGATGGGGTACCCAGGGTATAGGCTGGGTAGATAGACTACCTACACGCACGTGTCACGTGGTCGCGAGAAACGGCCGCGTTGTGACCTTTGAAAAAGCGACTGTAGTTTCGCTGTCGAACTACTTGTTAGCGTGCCTGTTCGTTATTCCCTTGCGAAAAATCCCAGTAGTACCTCGTTTCTTGTGCTCCCGACACACGAAAACTCCCACGAAGCGTTCTTACCGGTCGATGGGGCGGCCCGGGTGATGCTGGTTTGAAGTAGTCTACACCCACAGTTGCCACTATGCCACCAGGTCCATATGTGGTACTTCTTTTTTTTCGGTCATCAAGCCGCCAAGTCGCTTGCTTGCTTGTGCGAGTGATAAAGAATCCGAGGTAAGAAGGGCGCCTGCTGTAGCTGTCGCCCATGTGCCCACAAGAAAATGATGTTTTCTGGTGATATCTGCGCACAGTTGTGGACGTACCGCTTATGCCTTTTGTACATTGGCAAGATATTGACAAGCTTTCCGTGTGTTTGTTTTTTGTTATTTTTCACATCAGCTCTATAGTCCACAAAAAATGGGGAGCCCGTGGTCTCAAAACCCGGCATATACGACGCCGCGGGGAAACAAAACAAAAATAGGGTACAAACCACTCGCACCGACCGTTCGAGAAAAGAGCCCTCGGAAACCGATCAATATAAAACAGTGGGGGGGGAGGGTCTCAGGGTTAAAGGTACGGCAAGCTTTCGGGACGCCGGCGCGAGAGCATCGCACGTAGAACACGTCGGCTCTCCTCTCATGCACCACGCTATGCTACGGTGCACTCGCTTTTTCCAGCCGTCCAACCGTCCTCGTGTTCAGAACAAAAACTACCGAGTAACGTACGACGGTGAACCCCCCCCCCCCCCC